ACAATTTTTTTCTCCAGTTGAGGGGATTTCCGAAAAACATGTTGAAAACAAAAACTGCAGATAATGCAGAGAATTACATGTTGTAGGTGAGCGGCGGGTAGCTGGGGAAGGGGGCATACATTGGGTATCCAGGCTGAGTTCTGGCATCTCTAAGAACAAGGACATCATAGGTGCCAGATTCTCTTAACCAGGCAGCAACCATAGGTCCTTGTGATATAAATCTGCCCAAGTTACGCTTACAAAGATGAAAAGGTGCACCTATTGCTCTGAGGAGTGCCTCGATGACCCTCCTTAGTGTGCCAGCACCAACCACCTTGCTGTGCTTGCCCCAGCCGGTCAAAATGCTGAGTAAGGAACTCAGATGTTTCAGTTTTGAAATGAAATCTAAATATGTTACAATAAGCAGGTATCAATCAGCCGTTAGAATGCAGAGAATTGCTTACCTTAAAAGTTGAGGCAACTGATAGCCTTGAAGTACAACTGCATGTATACTTAGGAGCCATGCATGGACCATTGCTTGAGCAGCTCCTGTGGACATGAGGTGCAAATCCAAGCAAGAATCAGACCATGCATTGTCCCACACTTGCCTGTATTTCGCTTCAAGCGCAACTAGCTGGGCTCCGTATCTCTAGAACACAACATAAAATAAAACATTAAAATTAGTAAATTTTCAAGAAGAACCTGAAACATCACAGGAGAGATGCTAAGCAGAAGTAAGGTGAACATGTGGTGCTCCAATACAAATGCAACAACAAACCTGATCAAAGTGCCATAGCACATCTGTCAGAGCATTGTAGAAGGCTGATGTGGTTTCAGAATCCATCCGTCTTAATTCATCAAAGAGGGACAGAGCTTGAAGCCAAGCACTTCCCAAGTAGCCCATCAGAAGCCCATACGCCACCCCATAAACCCGATTGTCAAACACCCTCAGCTCCTCCAATAACATGGAGGCATCACTGAATGAATTGCAGCGGCTGCACCAAATAGAAGAAGCACAAACGAGGTTCAACGATATTTTCAGCAATAGACCTCTAAATTAAGAAAAAGAAGTATACCATGCAAATTTTGTCACTGAATAACTGTCCAAGGATTAGGGAAGAAAACCATTATCCCCTAAACAGGAAATTCAACAATTCCTAAAAAACTTGCTCTGCCCAAACTAAAAAAAATAAACAGAGCTTCCATATGCATAGTATAAAAAGTGAGAAAAATGAAACATAAAAGAATTGGCATAGAGCTGTACCTGCAAGCATTCAGTATCGCAGAGAAAGTCACCACATTTGGTTTAACATTCAAATGGTGCATCTGTCGAACGAGGTCCAGAATACAAAAGAGGTCCCCCCTGCCTCTGTTATCTCTTCCTTTCCCAGACACTAGCAGCCCGAAAACCTTTATAATCTGGTTATCCTCTGCATCTGCCATCTCTTTTTCAGCATCAATCTCTGTGGTCACAGAAGAGGAAGATTCACATTGCAGAGTGCATTCTGAATCTCCAGCATGTCCAAAAGAATAGATGATTGAATTGAACGTGACAACATTGGGAGTAATTCCTTCTTTTATCATTTCATGAATCAACCATACTGCAGATTCCACCGATCCATACTTGCATGCAGCATTAACGACAGTACTGTAGAGCACAACATCAGGCTTGAATCCTTGCTCCTTTTGTTCCCTCAGCACCTCCAATGCCTCCGGAAGCAAACCATGTTTTAAATAGGCACCCACCAGCGAGGAGTAAGTCAATAAATTTGGACGTTGATTGGATGCTTTCATCTCCAAAAACACCCTTCTTGCTTCTTCAATCCTCCCCTGTTTACCAAAAGCTTGCAGAAGTGCATTGTAAGTCACAGAATCCCTGCTGATACCAGCAGCCTTCATCTCATTGCACAAATTTATCACCTCGCGAAGCCTACCAAGCTTCCCATAAGCAGTAACCAATGTATTATATAAAATTCTATCAAAAACAAATCCCAAAGATTTCATTTCCTCAAGCACACAGACAACATCTTCAAATCTATTAGCCTTAGAATATCCATCAAGCATAGTGCTGTAAGTCACAAGATTAGGCGTAACACCATTTCTGGGCATTTCTTGCATAATACTGAAAGCCAAATCCATTTGACCACTTTTACAAAGTGCATCAAGATAGGTATTGAAAGTGAAAACGTCTGTTTGAATACCTTTCGCAATCATCTGGTTGAACAAATTCCCGGCTCTCTGCCAATCTCCAACTCTACTGCAAACAGCAATCAAGCAATTGAAGGTAACAAGGTCCGGCTCAATACCATCCCTCAACATTTCGTTAAAAAACTCCCAAACCCTATTAAACTCAACGCCCCCTTTTGCACAGGCATCAATCACTGAATTATAGGCAACTAAGTTAGGACTTATTCCATAATCTATCATTGCATCAAATGTCTTCAGAGCCTCCTTGCACAACCCACATTTTCCGTAAGCACTTACCAAAGCTGAAAAGCAGAAAACAGTATTCCCGTAACCCTCATTGAATGCGGTTTCGAAAATACTCTTGGCAATCTCAATTTTCCCCAACCTTCCGAGAGTGCTGATTATGTTGCTCGCCAATTTCCCCCTATCAACCCTCCGTGTTTCTCTTTCCATGGCAAATTGGAAACATCTTAGAGCCTTCTCCCACTCACCAATGTTTCCAAGCTCCTTCAGCAAGTAAATGTAATCTTTGGAGCTGCAGAGCTCGTTCTCGAAAGATAATAGAATATTATCAACGTTTCGAGTATTCTTGATGTATTCAAGGACCTCCTCCGCGAGAGCAGTGTGGGGAGTATTAGCCATGCTTCTGGGGCGACCAAGGTGAAGCTTGGAATAGATGCGGGTGGAGCGGCGGCCAGAGAACTCGGGGGAAAGAGTAGGGAAGCTGGTTCCCGACGGCAGTGAGTTGGGCGTGGAACCGGTGGCTGGTCCGGCAGCATTGCCGGCTGCGAATGGGGGTCTCCCAGAACCCAACTCTCGGGAGTGGCTCTGGCGACGGTTGTGGTGGCGGCGGCGATGCTTAAAATTGTTGTGTGACGGGTGCTGGTTGTTCTGATATGGATTTGGCGGTGATGTAAAGCCCGGTGTAGACGCCATTGAAAATTTTCAGAGACAAAATGGCTTTAAAGATCAAAACTTTTTGCTGGGTTTCTGCTGAAAGTGAGAGAAAGCGAGTAATCAAAGAGTTCAGCTGAGTTTTAGAGAGGCAAAAACGAACCGGCGGAAGCCACTGGAGATGTGTTTCGGCGGAGATTTTGGAAGCAATGGGTCAAAAGAGTCTTGGACTTCGGAGACTTACTGAGAAGAAAGAGGGAGAGTGACTGAGCTAACTCTGTGAGTTATGAGCTTAACTCGGGATGAGTTCAGGGTCTTCAGAGGCTTGTCTTATATAGACTCCTGCCCGAGTCACAATTGGCAATGTTGCTTTATTTGGCAATGTGCATTTTTTTAATTTAATTTTTTATTTTTATATTTTAGAAACTTGATGAGCAATTTTCTACATTTTTTTATTTTTTATATTTTAGAAAATCAGGTGCTCCTTTGCTAAAATGGTGTGGGGAAATAGCCCAATCAT